GGCGAGAACCTCGGCTACAACAACACCACCGTTACGGTATCCAACTACGGCGACCACTGGCGCAACCTCCGCCGCATCATGGCGCTCGAGGTTCTCTCAACGCACCGTTTAAACTCCTTCTTGGAAATCCGAAGGGACGAGATCATGAGGCTCGTGCGAAAGCTAGCTCACGACTCACACAACGGCTTTACCAAAGTGGAACTTAAGTCAAGGTCAATATTGTTAAACAACTCATACCTCTAGCATTTCAATCCGTAATATTTTTTTGTTTTTTTTTTATTTTATCTATTGAAATTCTATATGGTAGCCTTGAAAATTTAAAGGATTTTAAAACTGTTTTTATTTTTTTAAAAGAATGTGTGAACATTTGATGTTTATAGAAATTACATTTATTATTTTCTTAAAATTCTTATATATGTATATATATATTACATGAAACATTTAAATTTATTAAAGATATTTTTTTTATATATTATGAGTCAAGATATATTGAGATTTTTTTATATTTTTATGTAAATTTTGAGAAAAAATTAAATAAAAATTCACAAAATCTTCCTCTATTTTAGCAAAAAAGAATTGTTATTTTTTTTTTCAAAATTATTTTGATTTTGATAAAATAATTTAAAATATTTGAGCTAGTATTTAGTGAGAAAAAAGAGTATGTTAATTACTTAAATTATTTTTTTTATCAATAACACATGAAAAGAAAAAAGCTACACTTTTATTTTTTTTTATTGATTTTAAAAATTGGCTGTACCAAAACCTCTGAATTAGAAGGGTACCATAGCAACTCCATGCTAATCTGCTATCAATTATTGTATTTCAGTTTTTTTTCTTTTTTCTTTTGTCTCTTAATAATTATACAAATTATTTTCTTATTCTAGGTTTTCGGAAATGACGTTTAACACTATAATGAGGATGATATCGGGGAAGAGATACTATGGTAAAGATTGTGATGTGAGTGACTTGGAAGAAGCAAGGCAATTTAGAGAGATTATTAAAGAGTTGGTGACGTTAGGAGGGGCGAATAACCCTAGCGATTTTTTGCCTTTGCTTATGTGGTTTGATTACGATAGTTTGAAGAAGAGGCTAAAGAGGATTAGTAAGAGAACCGATGCGTTCTTACAAGGACTCATTGATGAGCGTCGTAATGGGAAGCACAGTGCTAATACTATGATAGACCATCTCCTAACTCAACAACGATCACAACCTGAATACTACACGGATCAAATCATCAAAGGACTTGCTCTGGTAATTATAATCTTTGCTTTATCGTTGCCTTTTATTTTTACTATATTTAGTGATATTACGAGGGTTTCGTACATATTTTTAAACAATTCAAAAAACTATGGTCATATTTAGTTAATTACTGCGATAGGTATCTGGTCTCGTACGTCTTGTTAGCTTCATGTATATTTATTATAGTGAGGTTGCTAACACCCCCACATTCAAGATTAGGATAAGTCTACGATGTAGCTGGAATCCATAAAACAAACAAAATAGTATTCAAAAAAAGAAGACAATAATGGAAGGAGATAGCAGATTTGTCATTAACAACGGGAGCCGTGCTTGTGGCCCCGAGAGACCCCAGAATTGAAAGAAAAATGTTACATCTACTTTTGGGTGTATGGTGGTAAATGAAAGAGAAAAAGTGAGATAAGTGATATGATTAAAAAATATATAAAATACAAAGAAAATAAGAGAAAAAAATAAAAATAAAATAAGTGTATAAATTAACCTTTTAAATTATTATCTATTCACACATTTTTTTTGTTACTCACAAATATTTAACACAAATAATTTTTATTATTTATTTTATTTTTTACATAAAATACACGGATACGTTAAATACTTTTTTTTACGCTAATGTAACTACCCAAAAGGAAAAGGCTTTACTACCTAACTAGCGAGATGCATTGGACTAGTTAAATTATATTTTTTTTATGGTAGCTAGTATATATCTGAAAGTTTTACAATCGAATTTTATAAAAGAAGAAAGTGTGTTATTAGACTTTATTTATTAAAAATAAATTTACTTATGAATAGGAAAGTACATTAAATTCACTTTTATAGAGTTAGTCTGACAAAAGAAAAAAAAACCATTGGGAGAGTCGAACACAACCAAAAAAATTAAAAAATTAATTAAATTTTAAAATATAAAGTAAATAGAATGATAAAGTTTTATTTAAAAAGTCATATTATTACAAATGAACAGAATAACCTATCTCCAACGATGAATACCTAGATAACCAATCTCCTTTTTTTACTTCATTAGATAACCTGTCTCCAATAATGAATAACAAATTAATGAATTAAGATCGAAACAAAAATTTAGGACCTGCTCTTTCGAAATATAAATCAAATTACGTTAACTTAATTCAAAATAAAGAACACAATTATAAAGATGTGAGCAAGGATTGTAAACAAAGGAAAAGCTTCTAATTGAAGTAACTGTTCATTTTTTTTTCTGGTGATTTTCATTTTTATTTCAATTTTTTAGCAAGCATGTGACAGATAAAATTGATTTTTTATTATCTTTTTTCTTTTGAAATAAGTGAATTAAGAGGAAACTAGTTTTTATTTCTTTTTAATTTTTCATCAAACAAAGTCATTAAAAAATTGCAGCCTTTACCATTTAAAAAAAGAAAAGGAAAAAGAAAAGATATTTTATTAAAAATTTGGAAAAAGAATGCAGAACAGTGAAAATAACTCATTTATAAAATTAAATAAGATAAATATATGTAGAAAAAAAGTAATAAATTATATTTTTGGTTATTTATTTTTTTTATGATTTATTTATCTTTTAAAATGTTCATTTTGGTCTTTCATATATTTTCTAAATTTAGATCTATGTTATCATTTTTAGACAATGATTATTTTCATTTTTGAGATACGATTTTGATTTTTTTTTGTTTGACTTAAGAGTCGAAACTTATGCAATTAGATTCACTTAAATTAAAACTATTGAATGCAACAAAAATTAAAACAAAAAAAATATCATTAACATGGAGAATATAACAAAGTTAAATTCAAAAAACAATCAAGAATTAAAGAAAATATATTATTAATTTATAGTTAATCATAGGATATAATTTTCATGTCATTTTTACTTGATTTACAATTCTTTTAGATTCAAACATCAATTGAATTTTATATTTTTTTTATAAAGGTGGGTCTAATGTGTCAAGTTTCATGTCTTAAATAGGTTAAAAATCTCAATTCAAAATTGTATCGCATATTAAAAATTGATTATTATTTTAAAATAACTAAATCAATCAAAAGATAAAAGATAAAAGATTAAAATGAACATTTAAAAAATAAAAGATGAACATAAATATAAAAATTAAGAGAAAAGGCAAAAAAAAAATATAATTTAGTAAAACACAAATTGTGTTTGTTTGGATATCACTCGATCAATGACTCAAATTAATAGCTAGATATTTTTATATCATAAATAACTAGAAGTCTACCACATCTTTTTTTAGACATTTAAATTACTATTTAGTTTTGTGATTCGTATGAAAGATTATAAAGACCCGACAAATATCAAATTTAGGTCTTCCTACTTCTTTTTCAACTCCTTCTCTCGATCACTAGATTAATCCTAGTGTTCTTAAAATTAAATTATTATTTAATAGCATTTGTCTCATGTATGTAAAGACTTTTCTTTTGTCCTTTTTAGGTTGTCATTAAAGATTCTTCTTAAATTAATACATGAGGTTTGTAGCTATTTTATAGTTGATTGTTGTAACTAATTTATGAATTTATTTTACTATAACCATATTATGTTGTAGTACAAATTTGCATTTTCAACTCCTAAGTTATGGTATACACAAAGTATCTTAGAAAGCAAGGGTATAATAAGACTCATCTCTTTTATTAATTATTAGAGTGTGGATTAATTTCATTGCATCAAAATGTATTAATTAATTATTTTTTTCATGGATATGATTCACACAATGTTCTAAAGATGAAAACTAAAATTTAAAGTAAAAAAAATGATTCTTATTTGTTGTATTAATGTTTTCCTCGAATTTACAGGTTATGCTACTTGCAGGAACAGACACATCATCAATAACATTAGAATGGGCCATGTCTAATCTATTAAACCATCCAGAAATATTGAAGAAGGCAAAAAATGAATTAGACACTCATATTAGACAAAATTGCTTAGTTGATGAACCTGACCTTTCGAAACTCTCCTACCTTCAGAGCATTGTTTATGAGACACTTCGTTTACATCCTGCTGCGCCAATGTTGGTACCCCATTTGTCTTCAGAATATTGCACCATAGGAGAATATAATGTCCCTCAAAACACAATTTTGTTAGTTAATGCTTGGGCTATTCACAGAGATCCCAAGTTGTGGAGTGATCCAACACATTTTAAGCCCGAGAGGTTTGAGAAGGAAAGTGAAGCAAGCAAGTTACTTTCATTTGGATTAGGGAGGAGGGCTTGTCCTGGTGCAAACTTGGCCCAACGTACAGTCAGCTTAACTCTGGCCTTGTTAATTCAATGTTTTGAGTGGAAACGAACTAGCAAGGAAGAAATTGATATGACCGAAGGAAAAGGGATCACTATGCCAAAAAAGTTTCCCTTAGAAGCTATGTGCCAAGTGTGTCAATCACCAACAATTAATGGTATTTTCTAATTTCTAGTGCTATTAAAAACACACACCATGTTCTACCAAAAGTCATTAGCTCAAGTGGTTCAACATTTGTATTCTATAATCAATGACTGATGTTCGATTTTCAATTTGAATAGAGTTGAGACTAGAGATATCACTTGAATCTTATAGGATCCAACTCGATGGGCCTTTTGGCTTGAATAAATAAAAAATTTAACATTTCCATAAATAAGTTATTTAAAAAATAATTTATTGAAATAAATTGTTTTGGCCACATGGACATTTACAATCAAAACGTCAACACGGGTGACAACTTTACTTTACAAGGAAAACATCAGTATAGTTGACGTTTTTAGGTGAAGGAAAAATTGTACAAAAAATGTAAGTATTGTTGACGTTTTCAATAGAAGGAAAAAAATTGTACTAAAAACATCAATACTATTAACATTTTCAGTTGAATCCAAAAATTGTACTAAAAACGTCAACATTACTAATGTTTTTAGTATAATTTTTTTCTTCCCCGTGACGATTTTAGTGTTTTCCTCCCACACCCTAGTTCTATCAGATAACACTAATTTATGAACCCTAAAAGCGCTTAACAGATTTATGAAGCGCTAAGAGGTTTTGTCATGACTTATGCGGTGAAAATGCTACATGCAACTAGGATGGTAACCATCCAGCATGTGAATGCATGCAAGTTTATGTTCCTAACTTTTCCCAATATTGGAATTTTTTTCAATTGGTCAAATGGTTGTGTTCCAAATTCCAAGGAATAAAACAAAGTGCACAAGAGGTTATGCAGATGGCTTCTTGAAATACACATGAAATTTTCAGAAAAGTTTTCATCGTGGTATAGCAAGACCATGAACCTTGAGGATTGTCAAAAGTTGTGTCCGAAAATTGTTTTTGTGTAACCTATGCAAATTTAGATATGTAATCATGGAAGTGGTTACTTGGATTAGATAATTTGGTTCATTTGAGGAAATTTTTCAATGGAGATCTAAATGAGAGAAGAAATATGTACTAGAGAATAAGAACATGTTTGAAAGAAATGAATATGAGAACAAACCTAAGTGAACTAGATGAGAGAGCTAAAAACTCCATTAATTTTATTTTAAATATAAATTAATGTAACTAGGTAATGTAAATAATGTGACTTTGTGATTGAAGAAAGAAATTAGAGACAGGATAAATGATTTTTAACCCTAAATAATATATGTGACCATATCACTTAAGTCTATATTTAGATAAAATCCTAACTTTGATTGAAGAAGAGTGCAAATTATACATAAAGATGTGTACCTAAGTTTTGTGAATAATTAATAAGGCTTAAGTGTTGAAATTTCCGTTGACATTAGTTTCTGTCTTTGTGATAAATAATTTTTATTCTATCAACAAACTCAAACACAGCAAGTATACCGTCCGTTCAAGTAGTAAATTTAAATCGTATCCACAGGGACTAGTAGGTAAAATAAGTATTTAATGATTATTTGTGACTAAAGAATAATTCTAATTTTTCATAAGTTGTTATGCAATTTAAATAAAGGTTATGACTATTGGAATGTTAAAACCTATAAAACTATTTGTGTGTGTGTGTGGAAGGGATAGAAATGATATTGTGATTTTGTAAGATTGTGGAGTCAGATATCACCAAACTTCACACTGATGAATCTTTGTTCTCTTGTTATATTTATTGTTTAGTCAACTCATAAGTTTACTCAAACCTAATCTCTTAGAGCAAGAGCCTAGGTGCATGTAATGAATATCAATTCCTTGAGTATCCAATACATACACCTGCATTACATGTTAGGGTTTACGACTACTAATGGCCAAGTTCCATTCCTAGATACATTTCCCACTAAGCATTTGTTTCAGAGCTAGTTTCAAAGGTTATTTTCCAATACCCAATGGACTCTATATCAAGCAAAAGAGAATCAATCCAAATCAAACATTAAGAATAGAAACATAACACAACAATGAATGAAACACCAGGTAAGTGAAGATTACAATAGAGTTTCGTTGGTTACATTTAACCCCACAAAACAATGGGTAAAACCGCTCAAAACAATGAAGGTGAAACAAAAATAGAGATGGAAGAACCGAAGGAAAGACTTACATACGAACGGTCCCAAGTACCGGGAATCCCTTTCATAGCTCCTAGAAGTCGCCCAATGTGTGAATGAGGGAAAAATCCTCGAAGGTTTGATCAAATACGAGCTGGGTGAGTCATGTTAGGGTTACCACGCCCGGTGCGTTATGCTTTGCGCCCGGCACAGGGCCTTCCAGAGAGTTTAGATGCTCTCCGTCTCAAGCCACGCCCGACGCATATACTTTTGCATCCGATGCGATGTCTTCCAGAGAGTTTGGTTGCTCTCTGTCTCGAGGCACGCCCGACGCATCTACTCTTGTGCTCAGCACAGTTCTGAGTTACAGAGTGTTGCTCTCTGTCTTGACCAAGCTCGACGTGGGTAGTCTTGTGCCCGACGCAGGTATTCTTCTCCTGCTCCTTAGCTCCTTAAATTTCCAATCCTATAAGTCTTTAACCTCACTCCTAAACTTAATAGTTGCACAAAAAATTGAGGTGTATCAATGTATTGTTAGATGATATTTGGGTTAGCTATATTTGCACAAATTTAAATAAAAAGAGAACAATTATATTGCAAGAGTACATAGAGTGAGTGAAATTGTTCAATAATTATTATCTTAAAAGAAGAATAATTGAGACTTAAATGGTTCTAGCACATTTCATAATCTGCATCTAGGCAACTTCATCTAGCTCGATCCCTCATTAATCATGAGCTCATTTCACGATCCTATCAAAACCAAACCTCTGACGAAATTCATTTTACTCTCCTCTTCATTTTGTGCCATTTCCCTCTGTGTATCTGTGTTACTCCTGGCCACACGAAAGATAGTAGTAGACGTGGCTCCTCCACCACAATATGTGTCTAATCCTACCACTGTTGATCATCTTGTGTTTGGAATCGCTTCAACAGGGACTTCGTGGCTTAAGAGGAAGGTATACATCAATCTTTGGTGGAATAGGAAACCCAATAAAACAATGAGAGGATGCGTTTTCGTAGATACTGTCCCACATGAAGATAATGCAAACAATGATGGTCCTCTTCCTCCACTTTGTGTCTCTCAAGACACTTCCAAGTTTCTCTACACGTACAAGCCTGGTGGTCTAAGATCAGCAATCCGTGTGGCACGTGTGGTGAAAGAGACTGTGGCATTGAACCATTCTGGTGTTAGATGGTATGTGTTTGGTGATGATGACACTGTTTTCTTCCCTCAAAATCTGGTCAAATCTCTTTCCAAATATGATCATAGGCTTTGGTACTATGTTGGGTCGCACTCAGAGATTTATGAGGCTTCACAGGTTTTTGGTTTTGGAATGGCTTTTGGTGGTGGTGGTTTCGCCATCAGTTCCTCGCTAGCACATGTCCTAGCCAAGGTTTTTGACTCATGCATACAAAGGTATCCTCATGTGTATGGAAGTGATGCCAGGGTCTACTCTTGCATAACAGAACTAGGTGTAGGATTAACCCATGAACCAGGTTTTCATCAGGTAACAAATTAGAATGCATTGATTGTTTCTTCTGTCATTTAATCGCTAAATTTTATAATAAATATTTTAAAAGTGATATCTATATGATATTTGATTGATTAATTATGTAAAAAATTGTCGTGATGATATGATTTTAAAAGAAATACTTGTTTGAAGTGCAAAAAAATTGTTATTGATTTCTTCTTAATGTTTCTAATTAGTCCACTATTTGTGTGATTGTGAAATTGGATTAGGTTGATTTGAGGGGAAATATCTTTGGCCTATTGGCTGCACATCCATTAACTCCCTTGTTGTCCCTACATCACCCAGATCACACTGATCCTATCTTTCCTAACATGACAACTACACAATCTCTGCAACATTTATTTGAAGCGGTTAATGTTGATTCTGAGAGGATCCTACAACAAACAGTTTGTTATGAAAGGAGGCTTTCATGGACAATTTCAGTGTCATGGGGCTATGCTGTTCAAGTATTCCAGCACAACATGCTTTTGCCAGATGTTCTGAGAGTGCAAAAAACATTCAAGCAATGGTTGAAAGGAAATGTTTTGAGAGGAATATACACTTTCAATACAAGAGAATTTCACCCTGATCCATGTAAAAGACCCACTATTTTCTATCTAGATGAAGTTTCTTCTGGCAAAGATGGTATCATAAGCAGTTACAAGAAATATTTTCAAAATTGCCAACACAAGGCATCGATGAACAAATTGGAGGTGATCAAAGTGGTTACAAAAAAGTTATACCTTAACAAAAAGGTAATTTATCTTGTGCACTTCACACTTGTATTTTTTCATATGAGGGCTATTAGCTATTAGTAGGATATTTTATATTAGTGATAATACTAATTATAAATCATTCTTTTGTATTAAATTGCAGATTCCAAGAAGGCACTGTTGTGATGTGTTGCCCTCTAATGCTGGTGACTTGATGGAAATAGCAATCAGAGAATGCAAATATGAAGAACTGATTTACATGAACTGACAGAAAAAGTATATTAAATCTCTTTCAATCCTTTAAAAACGTTTCTAGTTTATAAAGAAGGCAATAATCGATGGTGTAAGGGAATGTCCAATCTAGAATGTGAACTTTCATGTATGCTAATAGAGCAATTTACTAAAGATGTAAGAAGATTAATGATTCACTTGATTAATTCAAACTTGGAAAATAAAACGGAACATATAGGATGGGAAAGTGCCTTTGGACGCAATAACTTTTATGATAAGTTCACCCCTATCTACAGAATCAACACCAACAATGTAGCTTTCCACTCAGTAATTATTTTTATGAAAATAATTAATTATTTTATGAAAATAATTAATTATTTTATGCAATAATTTATTTAATAATAAATTATATAGCCTATGGACATAGTCCACCTAAGGACTAATCTTACCAGAATAATTTATTTATAATAATAAAGTAATTTTTGTTTGTTAAGTATTATTTTAATACAGATGCAAATGGAATCTAGACTACCAAGTCAATCCTTTATGTTCTAGTACAAGTCTTTACAATCAGAGTCAAGAGATTTGATTATTAAAATTGAGTATAAAATATAAAAACAATTAATAATTTTTCATAACATAAAAATTTATAATATTGTATTGATTGACAAGTAAGAATTAAATTTATAATTATAACTAGCTAGTCTCCCTTTACTGTATCTTGTTAAAATATATATATATATAGCTTACAAAGTAAAATTCATTTTTTTTATATTCTAATGTTCAAGAAATGGACTAACAAAATATATATTCTTTTAATTTTTATTTTAAGGAAAAGTAAAGATGTCTAATTTTATTCTATTATTTTTTTAGATTAAAATATTTTGAATTATAATATTAAATAAGATTAATCAATATGTTTTTAAAGAAACTTGAAGATGCCTACTTGTTAGGCGTTATCTTTGTTTTAAGAAAATAATATAATAATATAATAACATAATAAATATAAAATATTAATTTAATAACAATATAAAATAAATAACAAGCATAAATTTATTTTAAAATATTATAATTCTTATATTGTAATTTTAAAATCTAATATCAAAATTAAATAACAAGATAAATTATAAAAATATAAAATAAATAATAAGTTTTTTTTTATTTAAATTGAATGAGTTTATTAAGACATGCATGAACGGTGATAATATTTAGATAAATAGACAATTACCAGATTATTTTTATTGAGGCTTAGAAGCCCAAGACTAAAAACGAGGGAAAGTTACAGCAGAATTATACAATCAAAGGAACATGCGTCCAAGAAGAAGAAGCCAGTTAAACAAATGAATTTTATAATTTCACTTACTTTACTTTTTAGTTTTTATAATTTAAAATAGATATTTTTCATTCTTATATCTATCTTTTTTATTTTTTTAAATATATCTTATTAAATTTTATACTTACATATTTTTAATATTTTAATCACTGTCACTAATTTTTTTTGTGATGTTGTCTTTTTTGTCCCGAAATAACATAGATATTAATTTAATTTATACAAAAAAATTAAAGATCGTCTATCATGTTAAACAAAACGGGTAATGTTAAAAAAAAAAGCAATAAAAGCTAAAATAATTTAAAAACTGCATATATATATAAGCTAGAAAGATTTATATTAAACTATAAAAACTAAAAGTGATAGAAAATGATAAATATAAAGATTAAAAATATTTATTTTAAATTATAGAAATTAAATATACGTGATTTACCATCATAACATGTATAGTGAAGAATCAAACACTTGCTTAGAGATCAACGTAGCAGAAGGATTGCAGGATCAGCAACCAACCATATATTTTTATGTGTCACGTTTGCTTCCCCTACGCATTTGCTTCATGCAAAGCTGGCATTTTCAATTTGCAATAATGCAAGTAATGTGCCGAAACTTCACTTCTACTCCCACGTATACAATACTTTATACATGTATCTTTCTCCTCTCTTCTTCAGTGTGCTTGTTTCTCCTGTAAGAAAACAATAGATCTAACTAGGTATAATACAACATTCAAAAAATATAAGATTATGGTCATTATTATTTTTATGTGCTTATAATAATTCTAACAGACTAGATTTAATCATAAAAAACCAATCCAAAATTGGTGCATGTAAAAAATTTAGTAGGTTGTATTTTTTAGACCGAAATTTTAGAACTAGCACGTTATTTAATGCGTATGTAACTGAATTAATTGACCAAACTGAGGAGGAATGAGTACGGAGTAAGGATTGAAAAAATGGCCTACCCCTATGGTTGACTTGAATCTAACCCTGTGGTGGAAGTGGAATCCACATGGAGAAACAAGTATTGAAACTTTGATGTTTCCATTTTTCATGTTTTCTTAATCCGCGGATTATGGTGACACTTTGTGTACTTCAAACTTTTATATTTTATATATGCAACTTTTCTTGCACATATAATAATCTGCATCTGCACAACTTCATCTAGCTCCCTCGTTAAGCATGGAGTCATTTCACAATCCTATCAAAACCCAACCTCTGATAAAATTCATATTAGTCTCCTCTTCATTCTGTGCCATTTCTCTGTGTGTATCTGTGTTACTCTTAGCCACACCAAAGATTGTAGTAGACGTGGCTTCTCCACCACCACAATATGTGTCTGATCCTACCACTGTTGACCATCTTGTCTTTGGAATTGCCTCAAGTATGATTTCATGGCCTAAGAGGAAGGAATACAACAAGATCTGGTGGAATTGGAAACCCAACAAAACAATGAGAGGGTGTGTTTTCGTAGATACCCTCCCACATGAAGAAAATGCCAAAAATGATGCTTCTCTTCCTCCACTCTGTGTTTCTGAAGACACTTCCCAGTTTCTCTTCACTTACAAGCCTGGTGGTCTAAGATCAGCAATCCGTGTGGCACGTGTGGTGAAAGAGACTGTGGAATTGAACCATTCTGGTGTTAGATGGTATGTGTTTGGTGATGATGACACTGTTTTCTTCCCTCAGAATCTGGTCAAAACTCTTTCCAAATATGATCACAGGCTTTGGTACTATGTTGGGTCCTACTCAGAGATTTATGAGGCTTCCCAGGCTTTTGGCTTTGGAATGGCTTTTGGTGGTGGTGGTTTTGCCATCAGTTCCTCTCTAGCACAAGTCCTAGCCAAGGTTTTTGATTCATGTATACAAAGGTATCCTCATTTGTATGGAAGTGATGCCAGGGTCTACTCTTGCATAACAGAACTAGGTGTGGGATTAACACATGAACCAGGTTTTCATCAGGTAACAATTAGTTTGAACATTTTAATTAGAATACACCGATTGTTTACCACTCTCATTTTATTACACATTGACACATGTTAAGTTTGTTAATTTTTATAATGGCTACTTATCTGATATGATTTTTGATTGGTTGACGGTATAAAAATCCTTACATGATATGATTTTAAAATAAACTCTTGCTTGGAATGCTAAAAATTGTTAGTGATTTTCTTTTTCTTCTTTATGCTTCTAATTAGTTCAATATGTGTGATTGTGAAATTGGAATAGGTTGATTTGAGGGGAAATATCTTTGGCCTATTGGCTGCACATCCATTAACTCCCTTGTTGTCCCTACATCACCCAGATCACACTGATCCTATCTTTCCTAACATGACAACAACAAAATCTTTGCAACATTTATTTGAAGCTGTTAAGGTTGATTCTGAGAGGATCCTACATCAAACAGTTTGTTATGAAAGGAGGCTTTCATGGACAATTTCAGTGTCATGGGGCTATGCTGTTCAAGTATTCCAGCACAACATGCTTCTGCCAGATGTGCTGAGAGTGCAAAAAACATTCAAGCAATGGAAGGAAGGGAATGTTTTGGCTGGAATATTTACTATCAATACAAGAGACCTTCACCCTGACCCATGTAAAAGATCCACCATTTTCTATCTAGATGAAGTGTCTTCTGGCAAAGATGGCATCATAAGCAGTTATAGGAAACATTTCCAAAATTGCTCACACATGGCACCCATGAACAAATTGGAAGTGATCAAAGTGGTTACAAATAAGTTAAACATTGACAACAAACAGGTATTGTTATTCAGATCTGGGTTATTAGTAGGATGATTTTATATTTTGTAATAATATTGCTTATAAACTATTCTTTTGAATTAAATTAATTGCAGATTCCAAGAAGGCACTGTTGTGATGTTTTGCCCTCTAAAGCTGGTGACTTAATGGAAATTGCAATCAGAGAATGCAAATATGAAGAACTGATTTACATGCACTGATAGAATATATATATATATATATATATATATATATATATA